CGGCAGCTGCATGTGGAGGAGCGGAGACATGAACCCGGTTCACCAGATTACAAGTCTACCACTCCTAACCGCTACACCACACTGTAGGGCTGCCTCTGAAGATGGTTCAGGAACTTCAGCTGGTGCAGAATTCGGTGGACAGGTTGCTCACTGGTGCAAGACAGTTTGAGCATATTACACTGATCCTGGCCTGACTGCGCTGGCTGCCAGTTTCTGGGCCCAATTCAAAGTGCTGGTTTTGACCTATATGGCTCAGGACTGCAAGACCTCAAGGACTGCTTCTCCCCATATAAACCGACCCATACCCTGAGATCTTCCTCTGAGGCCCTTCTTCATGTGTCTAGAGGTCTGGAGGGTGGCAACACGAGAATGGGCCTTTTCTGCAGTGGCTCCCCACTTGTGGAATGGTCTCCCCAGGGAAGTCCACCTGGCGCATCTGTTATACACCTTTAAGTGCCAGGTGAAAACGTTCCATTTCAACCAGGCTGATTAATACCCTATATCCTTTTAAATATGTTTATGGGAGAAAGGATTATTGGGTTGTTGTTTTATTATTATGTATTTTGTGTTTCTTTCTTGTACTTTTATGCTGTGAACCGCCCTGAGATCTTCGGGTGAAGGGCGATCTACAAATTTAATGAGTCATCATCTACTAGGCCAGCATCCAGTTCTCTCAGTGGCCAAAAAGATGCATGTGGAGAATCCCACCAGTGGGGATATCTTCACTCAGTTTCTTTGCACATTTAAAAATCTGTCCGTAGGAGTGCCGATAGCTTGTATCTTCCTCCGCCAACAGTGGTGCAAATTTCAAATATGAATGTTGGCTATGTAGCTAAAGCCTGCTGGGTTGCAGTGTCCATAATATTGGAGTCCTGTGTCTCTCGCCAAATGTCATGGGGCAGACTGTGTTACTCAGTGATGAAAAATGCTGCACATGCTCAAAGTCAGAAGTGCCAGCTTTGCCCTGCAATCGTGAGTGCCTAGGGCCGCGGATGCCAGGCAGTATGCATGGCCCTGGCACTGAAATTTGTGGGTGCCCGGCCCCTTCATGGGGAATGCTGGGGCTTCAGGGCCCCAGGGAGTTGGCACCTATGCTCAGAGTCACTTTATAATCTCATTCTGTATTTTCCACATTTAAGCTCCTGCATTGGAAATAAGACCTGGGACTTGGTCCTTGGAAATCCTGGCTTAGATTCTTCCCTGTCGCCTAGGCTTCCTCTCCCTCAGTTGCCAGGTGACATCTGGGGGGTGGAGGAAGCAGAATCAAATAAACCCCAGTTGATATTGAGTCTCTGAGGTAAACTTTTGGAAGAGATTCCCGCCACCCCTCCTTCTCCCAAAGCAAACTTTGTGATGAACACGTCATTCACACACCTTCCGTCGGGGATTTGGTTTAAAGTAAACATACTGCAGTATTTGGAAATGCCTTTGCTGCTAAATCTTTGGCTAGACTGACTTATATACATTGCATTGAAACTGACTGTGCAAATATTAACTGTAATTCTCAGGACGTATGATGGTTACCTAAAGAAAATACGGGATATAAGCTGTAAAGAGACCTAGTGTCGTCTGGTAGACTCAGGGAGAGAGATATGAAAGGCTCAGGTCCACACATCTTACCTCCACTATGGATCCATTTGGGTGACCTCAGTTCCCTCCGTGAAATGTGAGAAGGCATCATCCCTCCCTCCACGAGTTGTGCTGAGGCCAAAAGAGATTATAGGCATGATCCAGCAAAAGTTACGCACACAAGTGAGCCGTATTGATTTCAGAGGGGCATTTAATGACGTGCTTAGCCCTCTTCCTCCACTGGAGCCAAAAGGGACTTAATAGCACTTATCTTGGGCTGGATTGTATCCAGAGATGGTAAAATACTTTATCTATTAAGTGTGCTATATATGCGATTAGTAGCGATAGCAGCATCAGATAAGAAGTGGAGAACAGAACATTTAACAACACAATGTTCTGTGATCTGAAGAGGGCTGGAGCAGGTAGGAAATGGAGGCAGGCAAAGAGGGGCCAGTCAATGCATCGCTTAGTCCAGAGCTTTCCAAACTGTGTGTTGCAACACATTAGTGTGTGTCGGTGTGTCGCATGAATCCTCCTCCCGGGGCTGAAAAGGGGTTAGTTTAACCTCCGGTTTGCTAGTAAAACTGAATTACTGTGTCGCGAAATGATGCAAAACTGAGTTACTGTGTCATGAAATGATGCGTGTCTAAAAAGTGTGTCACCAACATGAAAAGTTTGGAAAGCTCTGACTTAGTCTCTTGGAGGGCCACATAGAACAGAAACTCCCTTGGTAGTTTATAGACCAGGAAGTTCCTGGACTTTGAAAACTACAGACAGAAGCTTCCTCAAGGCCCTTGGGCATATACTGGCCATGTGTTTGAATAGGCAGTGCCATTGGGGGGGGGTGCACGGATGTCTCTCCCCCACCCCCCAGAGAAACAGCTTATCCTCCACCTGCCCCTCCCATTGCTGGAACCTCGTGGTTACTCTAAAGAAAGGCAGTTTTCAAATGCTCCCCCCTTCCATGCTCTTTGCACCTTCTTCCCCATGCTTGTCAGAGTCTGAGAGGGTACACAGGGGAATAAAGACCCTGGAAGTTTCCTGCCCATGGTGGCCAGGTCTCATGCATCTGTTACCGTGTGCAGTCCAGTTTCTGGCATATCACTAAAAAGGCTGGAGACAAGGCCCTGGGAGGAGAAAGCTAAAACTTGGATCCTGTGTGAAGCAGCAGGCGAATGTGACTGCCTCTCCTTACGGAACAAGAGTTGCAGTGTGCCCAGGCTTTTCTTTGAGGGCTGGGCGAACCGACTGCCTCTTTCGGCCGGCCTGTATGTCCATGGAGAAGAGGTCATCTTGAGTGCCCCATCAAGGCCCTGTGAGAAAGCAGCAATGTGACCCCTTTGCCAAGGGCACACAGACTTGTGTGGAGAAGGGATGGGGCGGCAGCTTCGTGGCAGAGCATGCAGTGACCCCCCCTTCAGTCCCCAGCATCTGTAGTCCAACCACAACTGGGGGCCCAAGGTTTTTTTTTGTTTTGTTTTTATTGAAGGGTTTTCATAGAGAACAAGGGTATAAACGTCTCCATTCTCAGTTCATAGTCAGTTGCATTCGGTGTGAGACACTGCTGTCATAGAAATTGTGAGGTTGGGGGTGGGGAATTGGGGAGAGAGCGCAGGGGAAGGGGGGAGGGTAATGATTTTCCATTCTTTTGCTTAATGTACTTGTAGGGTTTTTGTGTCAGCATCGCTAGGATAGGTTATTTGTCTGGTTACATAGGCAGGGCTGTGTGCATGCGCAGAATCTGGATGCCAAATGCATAAGTTGGCATTGGGAGCGCATCAGTTTCATGCCCAGCTACCCGTGATCTGGTCACCTCCAGTTTGGATCTCTGCAGCAGGTTGAAGGGCAGGGCTGCGTTTGGAAATGGTGTGGGAACTCCTCTCAGGTGGAAGGGACGGAGTGATTTTTATCATATTGCACCAGTGCTGCTTCATGCGTAGGGACCCAAGGCTGACCGCTAGCAGATGAACCGCTGGTCCGACTCAGTGCCAGAAGGCAGCGCCCTCTTCTCCTAAGTAAGAGGTCTTCTCCAGCAGAGACATGTTACATCCCTGGGCCCAAGCTGCTTCAGTTGAGCTCTTCCCCTCCGCTTTGGCCATCTGGGCGCACGTTGCACGCCAAGGATCTCAAGGTTACGATGTGTCTTTAATCTTGTTTATGTCTCTCCTCCTCCAGGCCCAGGACAGCGGCAGTGGCGCTGGCCGGGGCGATCGCTTGTGGTTATATAATGAGCTCACTGTCTGAGGGCGGGGGAGGGGGTGCGGGGGTGGGAGAGAGGGGGATTTCTTGGCCACGTCACGGCCCTCGCCTCCCCGCCCCCCGCAGGTGGCCGCAGCCTGTGCGCAGCGAGCTGCTGGAGGCTCCACGTGCGCGCCGCCCGAGCCGACTTGCAAAAGGGGAGGGGGGCGCAGGCAATGCAAGCCGTGCGCTCCCTCCCGTGCCGAGTTCTCTCTCTCTCCCCCCCCCCCCCTGCCGCCTTTCGCCCCAACCCAGAACTGCAAACGGGGGCAAAACACTTCCCGCTGCACCAAACGCACAAAAGCTGCGGCGGCGGCAGTTCAAAGGCAGGAGCGCCCAAGGCGCGCTCTCCTCCCCTTCCTAGCAGAACTTATAAAAAGAGGGAAAGGGGGGTTTGCTTAAGAGCCTCGAAGACTTCTCTCCGCAGGGGGAGGGAAGGAGGAGGCTCGTGAAAGAAACGGGCTTCCCCGAGAGTCGAAATCAGCCGCCGCAAGCCTGGCTTTCCCCCGCCCCCTTCCCGCTTGCGCTGTGCAAAGAGAGAAGTTGAGCAAACAGGAAACGCGGCGGCCGCGCACCCGGCAGCCTCCGCCACCGCTCTGATTCACTGGGGCTTGCAGCTTTCCCGAAGAGGGAGGGGTGGCGAGGAGGTGTTGCCCGCCCTCTTCCAGCCCCGGGGAAGGAAAGCGCCGGGCTGCGTGTCGCCCAAAGTCTCTGGCTCGCGGGAGAAAGAGCAGCCCCAGCCCCAGCCAGAGAGACGCGGCTCCGTGCGCCCGCCTCCGCCCTGCGCTCCGCGAGCTGAGAGGCTGCGCCGCGTCCCTCTCCTCCTCCGAGGACTCCGCGCCGCGCCTCCTGCTCCTTTTCCCCGCTCAGTCGCCACCAGCGCGCGCGCCCTGCTGAGCTCTCCCGCCAGGGAAGAGAGGAGCGAGAGAGAAAGAAAAAGAGAAAAGTGCCTTTTGCCCGGACTGGCTAAGGAAAGGCTGGAGCCGCTCTCGTTCCTTCGTGCTTCCCGCCGGAGCCGCAAGCCCGCCTTTCTCCTCCATTGCTGGGGCTGAGCAATATGAAGGAGCAGCACTCATGTGTGGGCACTGGGCATCCCCCCATGGCTGGGTATGGCAGGATGGCCCCGCTGGAGCTCGCTGGTAGCCCTGTGAAACGCTTGCGAACTGAGTACTCCTTTCCCTATCTCTTCGCAGAGGAGGCCTACCAAAAACTGGCCAGCGAGACCCTGGAGGAGCTCGACTGGTGCCTGGACCAGCTGGAAACCTTGCAGACCAGGCACTCCGTCAGCGAAATGGCCTCGAACAAGGTAGGACAAAAACCTCCACCCCGATCCCACCTGCTTCCCCAACGCCTTCGCCTTGCGCGTGTTTTTGCCTCCCCGCCAGCAAAGTGGCCGGCGATCTCGAGCGCTGGAGTTCGCTTCCAGCCCCGGGGCCTGAATGCTGCAAAGGGATACCGCAAACAGGACATTAGCAACAGTTTCCACCACCCACCCAGTTTAACTTCTCGGACTTACCCCAGAAATGGTAAATTCTGGTTAACTGGGAAAAGAGAAAAATGCTGGCTGGCATTTCGATTCCCGGGACCACGCGGATGTTGCAGAAAACTTGCATGCATGAGCAGCCCTAATCCTGCAATAGCCCATCTGGGAGCATCCGTAATATTAGGCAGCTGCTGCTGTTGTGCCAAGAAAACTTGCATGCCTTCTTTGCTGTGGAGGAAGCTAGTAGCTTGTAGGCATTCATGTTTGCAAACTTAAAAGGTGCATGGAGCACAGCCTTCATTACTGCAATGTGTCTCAGTGTGTTATCTAACTTAGGTGAATCGGATCTAAATGCAAGCCTCCTTCAGGCTTCTACTCGGGAGTAGTTCTTGGTAAACTCCATGGGACTTTTGGGGGTCAAACTTAAAAGTTGAATTCTTGCATTCTCTGTTTATCAGCATCACTGCATCCTATGCATGCTTGCTCTGGAACTTAAGTTCAATAAAGACTTACTTTTTGGTGAGCCAGCAGAGAACTGCAAAACTTTGCAGGGGTTTAAAATGATTGTTTAAGATCCCCTTTTTTATAAAATCGTATCTACGAATGAATCAGATGGCAGAATTGAAAAGTCCTGCATACATTTGAGATGGGCAGGTCCATCATTTTGACCTTTGCAGTTGTATAATAAAGTTGGAGAGGGGGGAGCAAAACTGGCCTGGCTGGGGGTGGGCGGATCAAAAGAGGTGGTGTAGTTTGGGTTTCAAAGCTTCACATGCCATTTAAAGGTTGTGCGTAATCACTGATCAGTGTGCTGCCATTTTAAAACAGGATGAAGTAAGATGCACACACAACATTTACGTACGGCACTTTGCTGTAAATGTCAACCACTAAAGGTAGTAGGAGATGTGGTTACAACTTGTTGTAAATACCGAGGAACAGAGAAAAGCAAGCAAAGCCATGTGCATGTTGGAAACAGATTTGTTTTACACTTTTTGGTGTAAGTGATTCTTGTGCATACTGACCGAAAGCAATTTCCATTGATTTCACTGGAGCATACTTTTGAGAAAACATTAGGTTTGAGAAACAAGTTTTCATTGTGGCACTAAAATCACCAAGAATGCTAAAAAGTTCCCCACTTTCTTTTTAGGCTCTCGGTGAAGCTGCTCACTGGGTGACCTTGGGGCCCTCACTGTCTCTCAGCCTAACCTACCTCAGAGTTGTGAGGAAGAGAGCCATGATCTTTTTGGAGGAATGGTGCAATATAAATGCAATGGCAAATCTAATATCACTTCTGACTGCAGACTTGATCTACACAGGCAGGGGAAAGAGGGAGGGAAGCATCTGACTCTTGCAAGCTCCTTGAGCTTTTGATTGTGCAATGTAACACATGGCTACAGGAGTCACAAGTTCGTGGATTCTTTCCCATGCTTTCCTATTCTTGAGATACCATTTATGCTCCTCCAATAAAAGTGTCACATACTGTTTATGCTGTTAACATGTCTCTATCTAATATGTGTGGATGTTTTCTGTGGCTCTTGGCAATCGACTGCTATGAACCCAGATTTGATTCTTGCAATCAAACTTACGGATTTGATCCTGCACCTTCATAGACATGTGCCAAGCAGGGCAGCTTAGCACATTGTGCAACAGCGGTCGCTGGTTTGCCACCAAGTGTATATTCAAAAGGGAGGTGCAGCCGTGAAGGCTCCTTGGTGAATATCACACACATTAGCAAGCAGATTCACTGCTTCATGACTTTTGAACAAGGCTTGCTGCATAGAATTTAAAAATTGCATGTGGATTTTAATTATTGGTGAAAGCAAAAGAGCAAATGTTTGAAGCAAAATGCAGCCTCATTTGCAAGCAGTGCAGTGGGTTTTCTGAATTGTTTATTTGGGCAACAGCTTGTTTCCTATATCAGTATGTGGCTGTTTTTCATATTAGGCTTATGTTTAACTAACAGTAATAATAGTAAGTTGTGATATTTTCATGTTAATAGAAGATAGGTTTGTTTTCAGTAAAAAACAAAACAAAAGGTACACTATAAACATTATAGTACTGTAGTTTATTTCCTTGCAAACATTGCTTAGCAATGGTGTTGCTGCCTACCTTGTAGTTAGCTTGTAGATAGGCATTTGCAAAGGAGTTGTTGTATTTTGGATGTGTTCAGTAGTAGAAACTCCAAATACAGTGGGAAAAGAAGCATTTCATAAATCTGCTCCTCCCATTGCTTCAGAAAATTGATCATACAGCCAAGGTTTCCTGTATGAGATGTACAATAAGTTGAGTTGCTATAGCCACTCTGAAGGTCAGCCTGAATGATGGCATTCCTTACATCAGCACTGAAAATTTATACTGCAGGCACACAATTACTTGGTTTTATTTTGTCCATAAAATGGGAAATGTGGGTGTTTTAGGCTGCAATCCCACCTGGGAGCACATCTGACAGAACTCTTGAGAGGCTTACGTCTGAGTACGTATGTATAGGATTGGACTGCTCATTTCTTTCCTGCCAATTAAACGCTATGTGCCAATATCCCAAGCCACGCTAACTAGCACACTTCTATGCATATTTATTCAGGAATAAGTTCCACCATGTAGGTGTTTAGGTTTTTTTTAGATTGCAGCCCAAGCGTCGGTGTTAGCTCAATAAACCCCTATTACCAAGGGCTACTTTTTATTTGCACACCACAAAAGGAAGTTCTTGGCTACCACCAGCACCAGTTTTTTTAGCCTTTTAGTCCTCTACAAGTTTGTTTTCTAGAGACCCATGACTTATACTGCTTTGTACAGGAGAAATTGGCTCTAAAAAGCAGTGTGTGTGTGTGTGTCCTGCACAGTTCATTTCCCTTTGTTGAGAAGGCAGTGTTGGCACAGGGTCTCTTTGCATGGTATCTTTGGTTGAAGGTGCCCGCCATTCGAAATAATCCTAAGTAGGTTTTATGCGTTGATAGGCAATAATGCTGTTTAGGGCTTAGTCACACTGTGTGCTTTAGTTCATGGACAGATGTGCCTGTGTGGGTGCATGTGGATGTGGGTGCATGCATAAGTCAGATATCTTCTACACACACACACACACATACACAGCACATAAAAATACTCAAGTTCTTTTGACTTCTAAAAAACAGCCACGTAAATAGATGCAGTTCATATTTGGGTAGCCAGGGATAATTTTTCTTGAGAAAGGCTGCCCTTCTAAGCAACTTTTTCTCAGGGCATAAAGAGGTCAGTGGCAAGTATTTCACAGTGGCAAGATAAGCAAGAGGAGCTTTTCCAATGTGGAAGGGGCAGCAATCTATTGCGGTCCATTACATGAAATATATTTCTGCATCACACCCAACTTTGTAAGCTACATGCAGAAATCTCAAAAAGAGTGCGGAAAATGCGTAAATACGTCGCAGCCAGCCCTGCCTAGTTATTCCATAACGCTAGCTTGAGAATTTATTAGGGTGGAGATCTTAAGCATTTAATAGATCACATATGTGATGCGCAGAGAAATAGGAGGATGCCACCGGATGCACTGGCAAAGTCATAATGTGTTTGCAGTATGTTTGCATATTTCAAAAAGTAAAAACCAGGACACCCTAAGCTTTTTCAAAAGTTGTTGAGCTTTTTTAAACTAAAAAAACAACACATGGTTTTTCGATTGACGTATGCCAGCTCTCTTCATTTATATGTACATGCATCACACAAATATAAACATACAAAATACAGACAAACATACCCGCATGGCTAACTAAGCATGGAAAATTGTGCTGTGGCTTGCAAAGAATGCACTGCATTTACTGCTGGGGAGAGTAAACATTGTAGAAAGAAGGTTGTTGTCCTCCAGCACAGTATTCCTTTAAATCTTTCAGCTGTATGAATTATCACCTTGGGTATTATTGACATACGTAAACAATAGCAAGGGGTAACAGTGTGTTTTTCTGCTGCCCTCGGAACGAAAGACACAAATAAGCAACACCTTTGAGATCTTTGAATAAAAGCAGAAGAGAAAAACTCTCACTTGCAAATTACTCTTTTTGTAGGCATACTTCCAAATTTGGCTTTTTCACAAAGGGGTACTGCCCAGCAGGCCATCCCTGTTAGGCTGTGTTGATCTTGCTGGCTATAGCTGCTGTTGTCAAGGTCATCGTCCAAGTACTAAAGTTAATGTTACTATCTATATGTGCCAGTACAAACACACCCTCCCTAGACCAGTGTTTCCCAACCTTTTTTGGGCAAAGGCACACTTCTTTCATGAAAAAAATCTCGAGGCACACCACCATTAGAAAATGTTAAAAAATTTAACTCTGTGCCTATATTGACTATATAAAAAGTACAGTGGTGCCTCGCAAGACGAAATTAATTCGTTCCGCAAGTCTCTTCGTCTTGCGAGTTTTTCGTCTTGTGATGCACGGTTTTCCATAGGAATGCATTGAAAATCAATTAATGCGTTCCTAGGGAAACCGCCTTCAGACCAGGTCCGGGGACAGTCTGTCCCCCGACCTCTTCTGAAGGCTGGGGGGGGGGGACAAGGGCTTTTCTTCCCACTGCCAGCCTTCAGAAGGCTGTTCTGAAGGCTGGCGGTGGGAAGAAAAGCCCTTCTTCCCACCTCCCGCCCCGCAAGCTCCGGGGACAGGAGGGCTTTGCTGCCGACCGCCAGCATTTTAAAAGCCCCTGCTGTCCCGGGGCGATTTTAAAATGCTGGCGGGCGGGAGTGAAGTCTCCGCTGCCCCGAGGAGATTTTAAAATGCTGGGGGTCGGCAGCGGACGCTTCGCTCCCGCCTGCCAGCATTTTAAGATCGCCCGGGGCAGCGGAGAAGTCTCCGCTGTCCCGGGAAGGCAGGCGGGGGGAGCAAAGACTTTTGCCCCCGCCTGCCTTCAGAAGAGGTCCAGGACCTCGTTCCGATGCCCGGCGGCGGGGTGCGAGGTTCCCGCCCCACCGCCCGGCATCGGGGCATCGTTCCGAAGCGGGGCGGCTGGGGCAGGTGTTCCCGCCCCACCGCCCCGCTTCGGAGCAGCGTTCCGAAGTGGGGCGGCTGGGGCAGGTGTTCCCGCCCCCCCGCTTCGGAGCAGCGTTCCGAAGCGGGGCGGCTGGGGCAGGTGTTCCCGCCCCCCCGCCCCGCTTCGGAGCAGCGTTCCGAAGCGGGGCGGCTGGGGCAGGTGTTCCCGCCCCCCCGCCCCGCTTCGGAGCAGCGGGAGAAGCGATCTCCCCGCAGCCCCTTGCTTCAAAAGAGGTCCGGGGGCAGCGGGGAAGAAGCGCTGCGCTTCCCGATGCCCCTGGACCTCTTTTGAAGCAAGGGGCTGCGGGGAGATCGCTTCTCCCCGCAAAGCCTTGCTTCAAAAGAGGTCCGGGGGCAGCGCGAAGCGCTTCCCGCTGTCCCCGGACCTCTTTTGAAGCAAGGCTTTGCGGGGAGAAGCGATCTCGGGCGCCGCCTCTCCCGCCTCCCTCCCACGGCACACCAGGCAAGGTCTCACGGCACACCAGTGTGCCGCGGAACACCGGTTGGGAAACACTGCCCTAGACCACCAGGTGGTTCCACTGGTAGGGCTGTTTAGCAGGGTTGTAACCATAGGAGAGTCACATCACTGGCCCCAAAGAGCAGCACTGTACATGCCCATGAATGTTACTGGGAGAGATGTGATGAGGGGCAGGGGAAGGTGTTGCACCTGCCTACGTCTGTCTAGGATTGTGCTCTTAATCTCATTTTTTGGAAGAATCTCACACCAGATCAGAAAGAAACAGGAGTTCCCCCTTCTGCGCACAGGCCCCCCCCCACACACACACCTGAAAAGCTACAGCTGCCGCCAAATTGCTGTGTTGCACCCGTAGGGCAAATTGAAGATTCTGGAGTAGAATTGCAAATATAAATGTGAAAGAAGGAATAGCAACCAGGCTCCCCATGCCAGATAATATATACAGTCGTGAGTCAGTGGGTCTGAATTAAATGGTGGCATTGAGGGAATTTCCTCTTTCCAGTAAGGTGGAACTTGCTTCCACCACTGTTTTAGAAGGTGAGGCATAAGAGGATCCTCCACATTTTTGCAAGAGATGACTGGGAAGATTGCTCTCATCACAAGGAGAGTTTCCTCCCCACCTTCCACCAGCTGCTGCTGGGAGAGTCTGATGGAGGAAGAGTCTCCATGCAATGTGTCCTGTTATTGGGACCCATAATTTCAAATTATGTCTGCTGCTTGCAGTAGCAGTCATGCAGATGTGTTTTCAAACATTTTATGCATGGGTTGCAATATGTATACCAGCCCTTTGTACAAGTTTTAACATAGCAGCACGATTTCATCAGTGTTTTAAACTCCTTTCACAATGTTAGATTAGAGCAACCTGTTTCCAATTAGAGAGGAAGGATAATGCTGTCACATCCAATTTAAAAGGATTTACTTATTGGCCAGTCTCTTGCATTTCCATCATTACAAATAATAAAACAGCGAAACAGGAATTTACTGATCTAGAAAATTCGTTCAAAGAAGACAGGTGACCTGTTGATAATTTTACGG